TTCTTCAGGGAAGAAACCCAAGGCCTCGATCCACTGATGTCAATGAAGCTATGCTGATTTGTATCTACTGAGCAGCTGACCAGAGGCCATCTTGTTTCCCTTTTTATTTTCTGTATAGATTCTGGGTATAAGTAGTAAGCAGTGGGGCAGAGATGGTAGGAGACTGTTTGCTGCTCTATACAACTCTGTACCTACTGGCCCAGTTGAAAATGTTATTTCGATTTTTTTTTTCCTTTCACTTCTACTGATGTACTGATGTTCAAAGAGTAACTTTGTTGAAATCAATAGAGATCCCTTCATTTAAAGTTACTGTAAGTAAGGGTAGAAACATACCTATTTTGTTTACCAATTCTTAACTGAGGAATCCTAAGACTTTGTACCTGTTTAATAGCCATTATAAAATTACACGGACACTGTTTGAGATCTGCAAAGAAGGAAAACTAACCTCATTCTTCATAGGTCGTTCACAATTGCAAGTCAGTTGTTATAGCATATGTAGGCAGTCGTGCCTCGTCTGGGTGTGCCACTGAGGTTTAGGTGTCCTGTCTTCTTAGGGCCTGACAGCTTGACCTGACTCACTTATATTAGCAGGGCACACTGGACACCCCCCATCTCACTCACCACATCTTGATCTTGAAATAAGGAGGGAGGATCCTTGATGTTGCTCTCCTGCTTCTGCGAGCATCACATTGTTCCTTGGGGCTCCACCTTGCCTTACACCCCGTCTTTATGCCAACGTGGTCTTATAGTCGAATCAGGTAGAGTGCCATCAGGTGATGGGGTAGCCCCACCCTCAGAATTGGACTGCTTTTTTTTCTCAAAAATTGGTAGCCCGCTTTGACACAGTTCAGTGGGCTTTCATTGTCATGCCTGTCAGGCCTAGTGCCTAAAATCCTGACTTTTCCCCATTGGGCATCACTTTGGTCCCCCCGCTGATGCATTTTCTGGGGCCCACACCAATGGAATGGACTCAGTTCATTCTCTTGATTCATCCAGAGAAGTGTTCGTTGTCTCAACACCTCCACTTGATGTCAACAATTCCCCGGTGCTCTGCAGCTGGTCCCATGATGGTGAGGCTCCTCTGAGCCTTCAATCAGAATAGCAAATATTGCTCTTCCCCTCTTGCCCCTGCCAGAGCACGCTCAAGTTGGAGGCAGCTCTCCTGCAGCCATGCTCCCTGGTCTCTACTCTTCTATCTTCAGTTGCCATGGGGCACATCTTTATGATGGGCTCAGCTGTGCCCCAACCAATTTGGATCCGGGACAAGCTAGTGAAGTGTGGCAGCTGTGGTGCCAGGGATTCCCCAAAATGCTCTTCCTTCCTCTTTGGTATCTATACCCCTGAACCTTCACTTTGCTAGATTAAACAAGCCAAACTATGTTAGTCTCCTTTCAATAATAGACTTCCTGCTTCCCTTCAATCTCATAGTCTTTCTTTGCATCTCTTCCAGATTGAGTTTTGAATGCAGGTTACCCAAATTGCATCTGGTATACCATATGAGGTCTAACCAGTAGCTGGTAGAACGGCATTTGGCAAGTCTCTCTGTACATACTTCCGATACATCCAAAGATTACAGTTGGCTTTTTATGGCTGCATCCTACTAGGGGTTCATAGTCATCTTGATGGTCTAGTATTCAAAGGTCATTCTCTGCCTCACCTGTTTCCAACTGATGAGCTCTCTGGTTATAGCTGACATTTTAGTAGTTTCCAAGTGCATGACCTTGCATTTTTGTTCTGTTGAATTTCATCCTGTTTCTGTTACCCCAGTCCTATCATCTGGTTCTTTCTGTATGACAACCTGATCCTCCAGTGTATTAATGATGCCTCCCATTATCAGCACATTTGTAGGCTTTGCCTTAATGTTGTTTCATGAAAATATTCAGATCAGTAACAAGAATTATCTTTAAGGAACTCCAACCTGATACTTCCACTGTCATACTGCCTGCTATCTCCTGTTTTGCCAGTTCCTCATTTGCTTTCCAACTGCTTTATTAACCCTCATCTGCAACTTAACTGATAGTCCTTTATGTGGCACTGTATCAATGGTTTACTAAGGTCCAGAGAGGTAAGCTGTACCTTACTATTGTCTAGAGAAAAGCTGCCAAATAGTATTCAGATCAGTAACAAGAATTATCTTTGGTTTGCTTTTGATAGATCCAAGTTGCATTTTATCCCATTTCTTTCCAGACCTTTAATTATTCTGCCCTTCAGCAATTATTCCAAAGCATATTTGATCAGATTAACAGGCCTGTAATAGCCTGAATCATTTCCCCTGCTTCTTAGAGCTACAACATTTATGATTGTCCATTCATATGGTACCACTCCCTCTTGGTGGGTTTATTCAGAATACTTGCTTACCAAATTTATGAAACCCTGGGATGGAGATTACTTGCCCTTCCTGCTTGACTTGAGTGCATGAAGCTTTCTAAGTTTTGCTTCCACCTGGTGATGGTTATTTCCACTTCCAGAACCACATTCCTATTCTCCATCTTGCATTTGCCACCCACTCTGCTCAGCATCATGCTCCTTATTGAAAATTGAGGAAAGATATTTAGTTCTTGGTTCATATCTAGATTATACTGAATTACTACCCAATCCTCACAGCAAAATGGCCCCACTTTTCCTGTTTTCATTTATTTATATGCCTGAGGAGTCTTTTGGTATTTGTTTTAATACCCTTTGTGAGTCCTAACACAGCTTGACTTTTGGCAATTCTTCCTTTATATCTATACTTCTTGACCACCAAGATAGTTTGCTTTGCTGATCATTACTTTGTTACTTAGCTTTAATTTAGCATTTCATTTTTAAAGCACTGTCTGCACTTCATATAATTATTTAAGCATCAACTTTAAAGTTATACTGTAAGAGTTTTGTCACTACCTCTTTGTAGAACAGTTTGCCTTTGTAAACCTTATGTGCCCTCTATCCAAGACATTTACATTTAAACCAACAAGTCTGGGTATACATCTGAATATTTGTACACTTCAAAAGGGATGAAGGTGAGATTCAAACCCACCTGAAACTTAATTAGCTCTCTGGCCAACTTAGGACATTGGGTGGTGCTGACTTCCCTCGCTCCTTAGTAAGAGCAGCCTGAAATCCTTAGAGCCAAAATGAAGTGGCTCTTAATTTAACAGATAACATTTGTTCTTTGTGCATCATGTTCTAGGCTGTTAATTTTCTTTGATTTTTATTTATTTTCATTAGCATTAGATTTCTCAAAGGGGCACATCTGCAAGTGCAAACCATAGCAGAGTCCACATGATTATATTGCCATAACCCCTCCGTTTCCTTACCCTTTCCCATCATATAATTCATTACTGTCCTGCTTCATGTCAGCTCTGAAATTAACCCTCAGTCCTGCAAACAGACATGCAGATTACTCAGAGAAGCTTGGCAAGCATGCAGGGGTCTGGGCAAGCATATTCAATTGAATAATCAGGGCCATACTCTTTGACCTTCTGGAAGCACAGCTGGTGAGATTGATTCCTACAAGCTGGGTGAAATTTTGCCCCATGCAAAGAGGCATTCTGAGTCCTGTGTAGAAGGTGAGATCTCAAAATGGGGGTTAGCTGGCATGTCCGTCTGGAATGAATGGGAGATATATTAATAGCTTCGACCAAGCAAGGGGAGAATAGGGCTCTATATTTTATTTGCGCTGTAAAGCATCTGGTGTACTTACTGGCTCTGTGGAATTTACTTGATCTTATCGTCCTATGTGGATGAGTAAGATCAAAAGCATGGAGCCAGTTACATGCAGAACATAATTCCCTGTTTTACACGCCACAGACAGTTCCAAGCCAAACAAGCCTCACCCCTTTCTTTGCCTTTTGGGACAATGCAGTTATGGCACTTGCATATGTATAAGCCAATTCATGCCAGAAAAAAATGTTGTCCAAGATTCATTGCTGGGAATAAAAAATTAAAGTGGTATTTCCTGTTGACAATGCAAAAATCCTTTTTCAATACACAATAGTAATGGGATTCCTGTAAACCAAATCTGCCTGTGCAGTTGGGGGGTTCAGTTTGCAGGATGCAGCTTGGCATTAAGTTGGGGAGTTCTCAAAGGAACCAATAGCAGTTCGGTGCTTACTTCCTTTAGGCAGTTTTCAAAATGCCAGTGTGGATAGTTTTATAGATGCTAGTGGACTGAAAAGAGAGTTTCTGAGGGGACTTTGTTCATTTAAGGGTTTCTTGCTGTTAGGACCATATCCTTCTACTTAGACTGTAAACTCTTTGCAGTAGGGACTTCTTGTTTCGTGGCACTGTGCAGCTGGTGTTCATGATTTGCATCCCTGTTCACTGCTGTAGTACAAATAATAAATAATGGTTGGCATCAGTGGGAGTTGCCACCAGATGCTTAGTGCGACACGGGTTGGTTGTGGAATGAGGGGTTGCAAGCAGTGAGTGATTCTCTGCCATATTGCACACTGTGCAGTGTTTTTCCTTTTCACACTTGATCCTAGAAGAGGTGATGGCTGGACATGCCAGTCTCTATTGCAGAGACAAAGGGAGCCTTTCTGCTAGCTTGTAATGTACAGTACAGAGTTTCTGCAAGCTGATGGAAAGTTGCCTTGTTGGTTAAATCTCTTTTCGGTGTTTCTTATGTTTTCCTGCATATATTTAAAAAAAACCCAAAAACCTTTAAAAATGTTGACCTGGAATTAGACACAACTGCAACCCTGAGTTAGGTAAGTCATTTTCCTTATACCAGGAAAACATTTTAAACGACACCCCTAACCTTCTTGGTTAATGTTTTGCTCCTTATAAAGCATCTGGCTTCAAATATGGGCATATTTTATTTACATTAACATCCAGCATGGCTGTGGTCACTGACTTGTGCAAGAGAGCTTATTACTTAAATAATAGCCGTTAAGCATTTTTTGATCTTGGATTAAAAGTTTGCATGGAGACAGAGTTACTTGTGACATCGGGTATTATAGCTGTTTTAATTCATTAACAAGATGAAAATGTTGGGTTTATATCTTATTTTTTTCTAGAATGTCTGAACTGCACAAGACTTGCTGACATGACTGAAAGACTAAACACTCTGGAAGCCAAGGTCAGTGCATTATTGCTTTCCTTTTTGGAAAATATTCAGTGAATTTAGTCCTTGTGAACAGGGTTTAATTGAGCATCCCAGACAGGGGAAATCTGATACGGTTGAATTGTCAGTCAGGTACAGCATAACAAATAGCAGTGCAAACTTCATCAAGTTGCCCAGCTACTGTAATGCAGCACAGATCCATAATGATCACCTCTTCAATGGGAGGGTTGTTTAGCTTCTCTGCCCCCACAGATAAATATGAATACCCCTGGTACTGGTGGTGCTTCTTGTTTGCTGCGGTAAGGTTGGTACAAAAGCTACCATTATTAGAAACCTATTGCTCCTGATCAGAAAGTGTCCATCTGAACCACTATAGGTTTTATTCTTCTCAGTAAGGAACTAGAGGGCAAATATTTGCAGTGTGAAATTCTGCTGGATTCAGCTGGGTAATATGGGCTTTACAAATCAGAAGTAAATTCAGACCCTGGCAAACAGTTTCTGAATATGATCTCTCTCTCACCAGTGGTAGGCACCTAGAAGAAACTCCATCCACAAAGAGTACAAAATGCAAAAACAGCTTTTATTTTTCTTTGGCTACAAAATCTAAATCTGAGGCAACGTAAGTCAGTGAATAAAGGAGAGGCATCTTCAGTTAGAGACGATCGTTTTGGAATGACTCCACAACAGTTCTTCATTCAGCATTTTACTTATTTTTACTATTTCTGTGTCCTTTATGGCATTTCCATTTCCCTAAATTCACCTCTCGCTTCACTTCTTCAACAATGGCATATAGAAAAGTGTATGTGTGCTGGTTACTGATACAGGAAAGCATTTTCCCTCACATGAGTAGGCCCCACTTCTTACTGGCCTCTTTACATTTGAAGGCTCATCCAGTAGAGTCTGAACTTAAAACCCAGCAGCTATCCCAGCATAATTCCTTGTCCAGACACACCCGAAGTCTTCCATTTTATTTGCTGATCTAACTGGATGTAAATGGCCTTCACCTGGATCATAGACATCTAGTTGTCCAAATCAACTGTGTTCATGCACAGATGTTCACATACTTGCTATTCAATCCATGTTTATTGTTTTTCCCTTTTTTAATTTTAGGGGGATTAGCTCTGAACACCTTTGCTGGGAAGAACTTATTTCTGTAAATCTTTTTAATAGCCACCTACCATGCATCAGAAAAATTACTCAGTCTAGCAACAAAGGAGTGAAGTCAGTCAGTTCCCTTTGATCTCTGGTTCCTTCAGTGACAGCCCAGTCCTATTTGTTAGATGTAGTACTTGGGTCTCTCTCAATGTTTGTGCTTCTGCTATTATTCATTAGCTGATGGTTATCACTGACATAAGAATTTAGGGAGACTCCTTTGGTGGGGGAGGGTGGAATGCCTGGGGATTTTGCAGCCAACACATTATATTCTTATAATTTGGGAACTGTGTTTTAAGTTGAAATGGCATGAGCAATGCTCTCTGGAACCTCCTCAGAGACATTCAGGGTTATGTTTCACCATGGGAAAATAATAAAAACATTTGGAGGGGGGTGAATTTCTCCAGTGAAAAAAACTGTTGTGGTGTTGGAAAAAACTATTTTCTCTTCAGGCAAACATGAGCTGAATTGTTATTAAATGCAAAAACCTGTCAGGCAGATAAGAGTAGGTGTTAAAAAGGACATGATGGTCTTGCATCCGACTACTGTGAATGCAATGAAAAGTCCAGGGAGGGCAAAGTAAGGAAACTTTTGACTTCTATGGGCCTGGGGTCAAGCTGTTGCTGGTTAGTTGCAAACAACACTTCCTCCTCTCACTTGCATGAGTTTCTGTACCTTGCTCCCCAGAAGATAACAATCTAGGATGTACGCATGATTCCTGGGGCCAAAGTATCTGAGCAGTGGTATCTTGCACTATTACGCATGCTTTGCATGACAGCATGAGCCCAATGCTGTTGCCCATAACACCATTGTAAACCAAGCCTGAGGCTGTCCAAGGAGAAGTTGAAAGCCTGACTCTGAGGCTTCATTGGCAGTTCCAGGTCCGGGATGTGATTTCACTAAACTCAATATTTTTATGCAAGCATGAAACTGGCTTATACCAGAGGAGATTCTCTGGGCAGTGTGTTCATATATAACAACACTAGCACTATAAAACCTCTAGGCCTAGGGACAGACATTACACATCAACAGGTTTAAGTGATCAGAAACTGGTTTAAACCTGTAACAGAACAGGCATTCAGTGCACATGAACCAGTTTGAAAATGGCCAAAACCGGTTTGAGATAAACCTGGTTGAATGTAGTATCAGACTTAACTGATTTGACTCGAACCGGTTTATGCAATGTCTGTCCCAGATAAGATAAACCAGACTTCCCCAGCATCCTGGCATGCTCTCTGGGCTGGGCAGAGCTCTGGTCTCTGCTACAGTGAGCTGGGCTGACCTCTCCCCTCTGCTCTCTAGCCAAAGCAGAGGCAGGGTGTGGCCTGGCCTGCCATGGCCCCTGACCCAAATCCCTCCCTCCTTCCCCTCCCCCCCACTGGAATACCCTGGGGACCGCAGCTGGTGTTTGCCAGCCCCTGCCACACCTCCACAGCTTGCCTGCAGCCAGGCAGGGATGCAGTTAATTCCTTCCTTTGTCCCCTCTCTCCCCCAGAGCCCCCGAGGGTTTGGCTGCAGTCTTTGCAACTTACCTGCAGCCAGGCAGGGAGGGGATTAGTTCCACAGCATGTCCCAAAGCAGAAGGAGAGAGGCAAGCTAGTCCCCTGTGTGCAGATCCAAGCCCTGCACCTCTGAGCCCAAAGCTAAGACCTATAGGACCAGACTGAGAGGTGGGAAGTGTTGGCAAAGACCTGTCAATCATCACACATGCTGGAGATGTAGTTAAGGGAAGTTGCAGACAGCTTCCCCAAAGAATGCAGAGAGCTACATTTACGTTATAAAGCAGAGCATGTAAAAGGTGGGAATACCTAAGCAAAGCCTTTCTGAATGTCTGGCTGTAAGGAAGGCTCTGCCCTCAGGATTAGTAAAACTAATTCTTGCCTTCCTGGTTTACAGTTTAAGTTAGACTAAGTTTTACATGCTGTGTTTTACTGGGCTGTATCTTAGCTTAGGCAAAGATTTTTGGTAGTTCCCTGTTGTATGCTTTGCAAATTGCTGTGTTCAATACATGCTTGCTTCAGAGAAATGACTTTTACCCCAACCCCACTCCTCCGTCTGGCAGCAGCTGCTCCTTCCCGCCCCCCTGTAGTGGCTAGTATCCCGTGTGTTGTGCTAGCCCTGGCTGGTGCCTTGGCCACACCCCCTCCGCTCCAGCAGGGAGGAGTGAGAGCCTTGGAGGAGGTGTCTCTTCCCTCCCCTTTGACAGTGGCTGGCAGGCATGCTCTAGCACCCCACAGCTTCTGGCTTGAGCCACTGTAGTCATGTGGCTGCATTTCTTGGTTTAACAGAGAATGTCTGTCCAGTTCTTAATCAGCTTAAGCTGTGCAGCTTAGTCTAACCTGCAAAGCGTGAATCAATTCAGGCTTGGGTTTTTTGAATGTCTGTCCCTAGCCCAGGTGTTCAGTAAGCACTGGGTGCAGCATGATTTTGCCTCTTGTATGAGTCCTTTCCACCTCAGAATGAATACTTGTGCTGTTGTAGCCATAATGTGTTCATAGTCACAAAATAGTCATGCTATAATGTTGGAAATCCCTTTAAACAGCTCTTGAATTTGCACCCTGAGGCTGTGACCTGCACTGAAGTCAGATGGGATGCACAGTGATTTCAACCAAAGGAACATAACATGCTAACAGCTGGTGACTTTTCAGATTGCGACTAGCATAGAGGTGAATGCATGGAAAGTCCAGTGCCAAGATATAGCCACTGGCCTTTTTAGAAGGTTTTTAAAAGGTCCCAATCAGCACCATCACTTCTCTTTGAGTGCTGAGGTTTGGATAACGCAGAGCTATACATTATCAAATGACAGCTTCCTGCCAAAAGAACTGCATTCCTGTAATGGAGCCTTGAGACAAGCTGTGGTCTTCCAAGTCTCAAAGTAGCTGGACAGTCTATTGAATAAACAGAAAGAACAAAAGACTTGACCAGCTGGTAGAGTCTGTTTCACTTGAGGGGCCGGAGAAACTTCGGTAGCATTGATTCTTGTCAATTCAGTCAGTTGATCTTGGGCATCGCATGTTTTGTCTGTGTGTTTTAGTGCTGCAGTATTTTGCAGTCCCAGACACTCGTAATGTTAAGCAAACTCTGTCTCTGGAGGCTTGTCTGGCCTGGAGAAGGAGTGCTGTCAGCCTCCGTTTTAACTACGTGCTTTTAAATGTGATTATTTTATATGTCATATCTCTTCCCGTTGCAGTTGAAGGAATTACTGGTTGGAAGACTCACATTTCTAACTCATCTTTCCTATAACTAGATCTTAATGCAGTTATTATGAAGGCAAGGAAACTTTTATATGTTGGGGAGTGTGGCAAAACAGTTTCATATACATATAGATATAGTTGTATGTATGCATGTATGTATATGTTATATTTAAAAATAAAACATTAGGAAGAACTTCTGAACTCAGAGGGTTGTTAGCCACTGGAACACCTTGCCTACAGAACTTGTGGAATCTGTCGTTGAAAGTTTTCAAATGCAGATTAGGCAAACGTTTATCTGGAATGGTTTAGATCATAGATAGGGATGATCCTGCTTTGAGCAAGAGATAGGACTAGATGAGCTTCTGAAGCCTCCACCAGCCTGATTTTTATATTATTCTATGTTATGCCATAGGCTTTTCCTTGACTTTGCCAGGGCAGCAACAAAGCTCAGCCCTGGATTTGCACTTACAGAGGGAGGCAGTTATGCTATGGGCAGAGAGTTGCAGTTGATAGGATGTGATGCTTTTTCTGAAATACAGAACTAATTTATCTGATAGGAAAAAAGCACCAAAGTGAGATGCATGAAGAGATTAGAGAATGAAGTCCAGCATTTTAGAGTTGCCCCTTCCTAGGAATATAGGATTTCCATGGTCTCTGACAGTGGTAGTG